TATTAAAAACGATGTGGCCGTTGCCACAGATCGTTTTTAATAAAAAAGGAAACAATTGAAATTGGTTCACAGTTGATAAACATATTGCGAGAAAATATCGTAAGAACATACGATCAAATTGAGAAGCTCTTCCTATTCTAATATATAACAAATTTATTTTTATTTGTTCGTATTTTATGTGCTGCCATGCCGTTCATCAGATTGCGCTAAAACTTTATCAATTTACGAGTATTGCTTGCGCCTGCGGGAAGTCTTAGGCATCGTACTGTTGCGCGCTTAAGTTGACGTCTGGAACTAGCGCCATCTAGTGTCGGGTAACAGAGTGAGGAGAGCTTTCCAGAAAATGACATGACTGAGTGAGGCTCACAGAAAATGTACCATAACACACAATAACGTGTAACATACGATAACTCACTGGAATGGTGTAACACACTGGGAATGTTGTTAAGCTTGATGCACATAAAGCAATAAAAAATTGAATTTCAAATAAAATACGATTGTAGATAGAATTATTTATATAATAAAACAACTTAAAAAACAAAGAGATCAAAATTTGTACTTAGAATTATACAATCGTATTATTTTGGCATTATTTGAATATGTATGTATATATATATATATATATATATATATATATATATATATATATATATATATATATGTTATATCTACCCACTTGTAAATATTCTACTCAAAATAAACCTTATCGCTAGGATCAGCTAAAAAGTATTCTTTTGGTCGTTTTGTGTTTTGTGTTATTTTAACTTGCTTAACTATTAAATCTTCAGTTACAGTGTCTTCATCTTTTATTTTGTGAATTACAAACTTTAGCTCCGGTTTTTTAATGGTTTTCAGAAATCGTATGGTAAAATAATATTTTCCTTCTTTTTTAAAACTATCTTCCAAGAATTCTATGTAATACTTCCCCGCGGTTCTTTGATAATACCTCACAAGTCTTTGAAAGATAGCCTCCATATGTCTGTATTAATTTTTGATGTCACTTCCGAGTCATTTTTTGCATTGTCAAAGTTATTTTCATCATCCTGCAGAGTCGTAGCAATCACAGATTGTCTAGCTAAATTAGTTTTAACTACTCCCTGATTTTCATTAGAAAAAATGTTTATTTCTCTTGTGTCTTTACTTACTATTGCAAGCGCAAGTTTCTCGTTTCTCGGCTTTTGGTGGTAATACATAAAAGGGTCTGTACCTTTTGAAAGTTGAAAATGATAATTTTCCTCCTTCTTTTCTATATTTCTGATATAATTTATGTAGAGTGCCAAGCAAATACTTTCTCTGTTTTTTTTTTGTGTCTTTACTTCATTTTTCCCTGCTGTCATCCTACTCACATCATCCCTTTCATAAAAGTTTCTTAACTGTGTCTGTATTAATGGGCTTTTATTTTTCTGTTTAGTATGACGAATTTTTCCTTTAAGACCTAAATAGGTAGCCATCTTAGTTTTCATACTGTATTTATAATGTCATCACTTTTGGTAAAAACATCTTTAATTAATCGTTTTTCTTGAGTGTTTTTACTTTTGTAGCTGTCTTTTATAGTGTCCACTATTACATTATGTTCTAGCAAAACTTTTTTCACGATTTCTCTTTCTTCAGGTCGAATACTAGGTAAATTTTGGTCAATGTATGCGCACGTTTTCGAAACGGGGGTCATTTGTTCAAGGGCTTCATTTTTTTGGCAATTGGGCTTGACCTGTCTTCAAAGCTACGAATCATTTGGTTTTTCTCCTCAATAATTTCAAGTAACTTTTTATTTTTTTTCCGTAGAACGGTTTAATTTTTGCCTAATTTTTTTCAACGACTTTTTATATTTTTTTAATTCCTCTTCTAGCTTTGTGTTTTCATTTTTCAGTCTATAAATGACCCTTCTATTATAATTTCTCTTCTGTGTTAAAATTTGTCCATGTCCTTCTAAAGGCACTACTTCAGGCTTAGGTTCTTTATTACTTTTCTTCTTTCTCTCTCTCCACTGCTTTCTTATGATTTCTTGACCAGATAAAGGATATTCTGCTATTCTTTTTCTATTTCTTTTTGTTCTTTCTGCATTTTGTTTTTGCTGCAATTTAAATTTTTCAGTATTTACTTCTTTCATCCGTTCTCGATAAAGTTTCTGCCTTTCTTTAGGTGTTAGAGGCATCTGTAAAATCAACATAAAATAAAAATAAAAACCATGAATGCAGTTACATTTTACTTTTTTGTTGTATATTAAACTTTTTTCTGGTTTAAAAACCCAAAAATAGCCTACTTTAAACAACAAATTTATATGCGACCAGCCTGAAGGCATTCTCTATTCACCAAAAAGTATTTTTGAAATCGGTCTACAGAATCTGGAGAATAGCGTAACATACATACAAAAGAAAATAAAAAATATCAGTTAAATTGAGACACTCCTCCTTTTTTTGACACAAAATATAAATATTTAGCTTTTTCTATACCTAAGTATTGCAATGTGAACTAAGCTTTATACTTTTCACGTGTGTTACGTCACACAACTTTATAACACACGCAACATACGTGAACAAACACTCGTGAAGAACATAACCTAAAATTCAGGTAGCACCTTTACTTGCAAAGCAAATCCGTAATAAACTGCATTATTTAGGAATATTTAATGTCTCTTTCAACTATATATATTACAAAACAACTTAATGTTATTACTTACCTTGCAAAATTATTTCCAAAAGTCTCTAAAATCCAATGACGAAAAATAACACACACCAAGTACTGCCTACTGCCCGTAAACCAAGATGTCTGACACTGACGTTTCATATTGAAAGTTATAGTGTTGCCATTGTGAAAAAAATAGAAGACGTGTTGCTATTGCTTCTACCAAAAAAGCTGCTATGTAACACAGTTTTTGTAACACACGTGAATCAGATGGAACACATTTGTTTATTCAATCGTTTTTTAATTATTTTTTTACTAGTTTTATTACACTTATTATTAGAACAGTAGTTTTATGCAATTACATTTAGCATAACATTAAGAAATCACGATACTTTATTCAAACGACGAAATAATGAAGAAAAAGAAAATGTACTACGCATGGACACATTTTATTTTTCTATGAAATTACATCTCACCAACTTTTTGTACCAGTTTGTTTTTGCTTATATTAAAAAGTATTCACAATTTAAATCGAGTAATATTAACAAGCGAATAATGCCCAATACAGAAAATAATCAGATTATTTACAAAGAACTACCAAAAATATATTATATATTCTTGAATTTTTGCACGTGAAAATTATAGACGAAGTACATTTTTTGTGAGCCTCAACCGACTAATCTTTTAACCAACAGCGCCATCTAGTATCGAATTGAAGAACTAAGCTTTCTAGAAGCCTCACACTCGAACTTTCTGCGTCTGGTCGGTCGGCGCCCGTATCTACGGAAATATTCTGGATGTTTCGGCATAAAAGTGTATTTAAACCCGCTGCATGCCGCGATCGGGGCAGTATTGAATTTGGCGAGACAAACGAAGCTCCGGAGCGAAATAAAGTGAATCAGTGTGGTTAATTATTAGTGTTTTAAGTTTTAATTAGTGTAAAGTGAATTAAAGTGTAAATTTTGGTAATTCAATCGGCAGCTTTTATTGTCACGAATATCAAGCTCGTAACAGTACAATTAACTTACAATAGATAGCGCGCGTATCGTACGGAAAAATTTTTTAGAGAGTTATGTATCAAATATAATTGATACATAACTAAAAAAATATAATTGGGAATGATAATAAATTTGTCGGAAAGTACAATAGCCAATTGTGTGGGAAATAAGAGGATAGCGTTAATTATTAAAAAAATGGTAAAAGTGTGAGAGCTGATGTTCAACTTGCTCTCTTGCTTGCGCAATTTATCATTATCAATAATAGGACAGCGTAACGCACTATACATTCAGCATAGAGTAATTACAGTTTGACCATACCGCAGTATGTCCCCATCACAATTACACACCAGTGCAATGTGAAGGACACAACTACATGATAATAGCAAATTATGCAAACCAACAGCAATCTTACCCATCTCAACGTAACACAGCACAGCCTCTCAGCAACACCACCCTCCTTGTCTGCACCAGAAGAATCACCACAATGGACAGAACAACGACTATCTTAGCACGCGTAGAATGACTTCACTCGTGAAACGACTCAAGCGGAATCTCTCTCGCTCAGCCCCTACACTGAACTTTATACTGCACAAACGAGTGGGAGGGTTTCTCGATATACCCTCAATTTCAACTAGTCACTAGATCCAACCGGCATTTTATAGATGCGCCTACACATTCAATTTCAGTGAATGTATTATCATTCCCAATCAACCTCTTCCAAAATTAAAATGATATTTCCACAAGTATTTCTCCTGCGGCATTAACGCGCCGGGCACCAGTTACTAACACTACTAGATAAAAAAATACGTGTGGCACTCGGGGACTGCCGCGGTAAAGCTATTGCATAGCATTTTTTATCAACTTATGCAATTATAATTATTTATTTATTTTATTTATGCAGTTAAGTCTTTGATATTAAATCAAGTTACACTTTTTGAGCGTGGTGACCAATAAGAAAACAATTTTTTTCTCTTATTGAATAAATGAGAAGTTAATATTGCTTAAAATATTTTTAATATCTTACAATACATGTAGGTTATTCAGGAACTTTTATCATTGAGTTAGCAGCTAGTGTACACGCACACAAACACCGTGCCGAAGTCTGCCGAGTACCGAAGCCTGCCGAACTAAAACGACGTTAGACGATGCACGGCTTTCAACGCTGCACCTCCGTGCCCGTCGGAGTGGGGAGCGTGAGGTTTTTTCGTTACGGAATTTCTGGATTCGGTCCCCGCGCTCAAGGCCCGCGATAGAAGCTATGCAATAGCTTAAAACACCTTTTTTACACACATTTACGAATAAAATTTTCTTTTAATCTGCCAGAAAAGAAAGTTGACAACACTTATAATTTAGTTTATTAGCATTATAATATAAATTTACCTCTAACGACATCCGGCGGCAACTCGACCGGATTGCTTTCACAGATGATCATTTGGTGTTTCTTAGGAGCAGCTAGAACAAAATATATTTGTTTAGTGACCACTATTCAGTTGTTATAACAAAGTTATAATCTACATTTTTTTTAAAAAATAATGAGAAGAAAGCTGAACGGCGCCGTTTAGTAAAAAGGCTAGGCTGTTAACTAAAAGCCTAATTAAGCTAGTTGACTGTATTTCCCACACACATTTCTGTAGAAAGATTTTGTTTTACACCTTTTCAAGTGTCTCAATTGTTATCAACGACTTTTCTACAAAAAAAAATTGTATTGATAAAGTACGATATAAAGGTAAAAGGTTATGTATTCTTTTTAAGTGTTTTTAAAACTTTTGTGAATCATGGCGGTCATCAATATCACCGTCATAAGTCCATTGCAGAACATAGGCCCTTCTACAGATTGCCACTAAGTCCCGAGCAGCCCGCATCCAACAAGTTCGTGTATGTTTCCAGGTTGTCACCACTAGTAGCTATATTCCTATTAATGCATAGATATGAGACTTGCAACCACAGAAATCGTAATAATAAGACAATAGAAGTCGCATAGACGCGTGGTTTTGTCGCCGCTTATATAAGTTGACGAACATGGTTCACCATTTTGTAATTTATTTGTGCGGGGAACGTCTTACGTGATTTTATGCTATTATAAATTTATAATGGTGCACTGCAGCATAATCAGTTGTAAAAATTCACCAAGGACGTGTAATTAAACTAATAAAGGCATAACATTTCATCAGTAAGTTGATTATTTACTAATTATCATTGTTTTAATTAATTTACATCTAGATGAATACTTTACTATGACATTTACCTTTGCAAACTAATTTATTACTTTTCGTATTGTACAATTATTATTGCTGCTTTTGTTCTACCGTAACAAGCGACACACGCGACGTCGACAAACTCGCCAAGCAATGTAATGTGAAACATTATATATCACTGTGCATTGCATATGTTTATAATACGGTAAGATGTGGCGACATCGGTTTTAGAAGTAATCGAGCGCTAATTCTATTCTTATTTATTTCTATAATTTCTATTGTTTTATTTTTCTATTTCTGTGCTTGCAACGATTATTCGTCTATTATTCGGTATTCGGCCTATGCGACTACTCTTTTTCTATATTTTTTTAAGAATAAGGGTGAAAAACGAGTACATCCTGATGGTAAGTATCTACTACCATCAGATACTTTCTCATCAGTGGCCCATAGACATCTACATCTATCCTCGATTAAGAATCAAAACGCAGATGCGTTGTCACCCCTGAGGACTAAAATGGAATGCCTCGTTTTTAGTAAAAAAGGGTCACCGGATCTCTACACTCCCCAAACGAAACGCAGTACTATTAAGCTGCTATTTTACGCTGGTATTCTATGAGAGCGTAGTCCTTCCCCGGTCGAGGCGACCAATTCGTGCTACAACCAATGTATAGCTACAGCGTGGCTTTACCACGTCGGCAGAATACCGAATACTTGAGCAAGACGTTTTTGTTGTAGTCAGATTGGTAAAACAAATATATTGATTTATTTTATAATGATGTATTTTTTATTATAATCAACAAAGTAATCACAAGTCTATAAACAATCTCTTTATTATAAAAAATAACAAAACAACTACCAAATAAATGTCTATGCACTTGAATTATCGTAAATAAAGTGGAAAAATTATGGTGCAGCAAAACTAATTTTTCTGCATTTTCAGGCAGTAATTCACTAATTTTATTCTCGTAGACACTCCCAGCTTTCAAGAATAGACGCTCTAAATAAAAAACAGTACCTCCTATACGGCGGAATACTTTTGCCTAATATTCGGTTATTCGGCCAGGAAGCCGACAGAATATTCGGTATTCGGAGTGTGGCCGAATATACCATTCGTTGCAAGTCAAGTACATATTGTTCTAATTTTTTTGTTTTACGCATTATAAGCTACTAAGCAAAACCCTGCGTCGGAATTGTTCGGCGCTTCAACAAACGGATGAATAGCCTCTATACATCATATTGAATGGGTATGGGAAAATTACGTTTTATCATTCTTCAACACCGATAGAAGACGCTGCAGCCATACTATGGCTGTAGCACGAATGGGTCGGCCGAAGCGGGGTAGGACCACGCTCTCACAGAATACCAGCGCAAGAAAGCAATTTAATTCTGCTGTGTTTCGTATGGTGAGCGTAGAGAACCGGAGACCCTTTTTACTGGCAACTATGGCAATTATGCATCCTGAGGCATATTGTGAGGCCTACGTACCTACCTAGCGTCAAAAGTAACAAAAGACTTTAAATATGAACAAATTATAACCTATTTCCAATAAAATATTATCGTATTCTATGTTCAGTAGACTTTTAAGACTTTAATGAATAAATGAAAAAAAATATATATATTCAAGCTTTTTATTATAATGGGGGTGACAATCGAGCACACAGTCCACCTGATGGTAAGTGGATGCTGTGGCACATGACATCTAGATTTATCTGCGATTAGAATCAAAATGCAGATGCGTTGTCACCAGTGAGAACTAAGATGAAATGCCTTGTTTCCAGTAAAAATTGTCTCCGGTTCTGTATTCTGATCATACGAAACACAGCAGCATTAAGCTGCTATTTTACGCTGGTATTCTATGAGAGCGTAGTCTTACCCGGATCCAAAATATAGCTGTAGTGTAGCTCTACCATGTAGCCAAGCACGCACGTCTGGCACGTAGATTCTGATAACTACCTCAAGAGGTCACTATAGTAAAATTGAATTGGACTCCTCACCATCCGTCTCATCATCACCGTCCACTGGCTTCGGCTCGAAGAGATGCTTGAAGTGTGGCTTACAGTATAGAGTTGTGTGGTCACTTTGATACGTCTCCACTCTGTAAGAAAAGGCTTCGTGTATATAAAATGGAACACTGTTTACTATTTATCATACCATTTCCTATCTTATTAAATATGTAACATTTTTGTATGTTACAAAACCATAATGGAAGTTCAAGTGAGGGGGTCGGAACATTAGCACACTCTGCGTTCATAGAACAAGTTCCGCTCTCCCACAATGGCAATCATTAATTAAGGCGTCACCGCGAAAAAATGCACCTCGTTTCATCGAATAGTATAGGACTATGACACCATTAACGAAACTGGAATTTTGATATAGGTAAATTCCTCTTTATCTTGAATGTGCTTGTTGTTTCTTCAAAACCACGATTGTATAATTTGGACTCGATTTTGAAAACATCTCTAAAAAATCAGTACAGTTGAAATTGCAACGAACCTACTTAATATATATATATATATATATATATATATATATATATATATATATATATATATATATATATATATATATATATAAAAAAAAGAATTTAATTTTAATTTACTTGCTTATTTATATGACGGCGTTTATTAAGTTTTTATAGCAATTTTGTAAAGATATTAATATTTTATTACTGTATTATTTTGCAACCATCAAATAAAATAAAATGATGTGTCTTCCCTAGTTTGAAGAGCACCTCCCGCCCTCCCTCAATTGCGTGCACTAAGCGATCAGCCGCCGTAGAGTCAACATCACCGGAAGATGCCTCGTGTAGAGGCGAAACACGTGTCGTATTGTCGTCGATGGTGTGTCTTTCCTGGAATAGTGGTGTTGGGAGTAGTGGCGTTTAGAGTAGTGTTGCTGGGATTGGTGGTGACGGGATTAGTGCACGCATTCAAACTAGGGAAGACACATCATTTAATAGCTCAATGACTAATTATAAGAAATTTTATATTCAATCGGAATAGTACTTATGTAAGTGTTTAGTTTTTTTTTAATACGCTGTTAATTGAGTTATTGTGATTGGAAATAAGCAATTATCGTAATTATTTATAGTGTTATCATCATGATCAACGTCATTACATCCCCTCACATGTTGCAGAACGTGGTCATCCCCAAGGAATGCAACAAAGCACGGTCCTGAGTAGGGTTGCCACGTTTTTTTGAACAAATATAGTTTTTTTTCCAAAAGGATGCAAAAATATAGTACTTTTGAGAAATTCAGGAAAAAATGCATATATTTTTAATCTACGTATTTTTCCATATATATTTGTTATAGCTCTTTGCTTTGGCCATCAATGATCTAGCCACCTTAGCATCTGCCTTACTTTTAAAATAATTATAGAGTTTGAGCATTTTAGATTTATATTAAAATAAATTAATTTTTAATTAAATTAATACATACTCCTTTTCTTTCTTCTTTCAATTTCACATTCGTGATGGAAAAAAGTAAATAGTGTTATCATATTAGTTTAACCGTGTAGTGGCGCAGTAAGAATATTTACTACCCCATATCGTCCCGTGGGTGTCGTAAGAGGCGACAGAAGGAAGCTGAAAAAGGAGACGGGCAGCAACATCTACTTGGTCATCATCATCATCATTACAGCTCTTCACAATTACACTGCTGAACATAGGCCTCCCCCAAGGAATGCCACAAAGCACGGGTCCTGAGCCACCTGCATCCATCAACTTCCTGCATGTCTTACCATGTCGTCATTCCATATAGTGGGGGGTCGCCCTACACTTCACCTAACAGTACGAGGCTGCCACTCGAGTACCTTTTCCCCATCGGTTGTCGGTTCTTAGAGCTATATCGCCGGCCCATTAGCACTTTAGCTTACTAATCCGTTGGGCTATGTCGGTCACTCTAGTTTTACCGCTGATATCTTTATTTCTAAGTTTATCACGCAGAGAAACCCCAAACATAGCCCTCTCCATAGCTCACTGAACGACCTTGAGCGTCCTCATACGGCCAGCAGTGAAGGTACACGTCTCAGTTCCATAAGCCATCACTGGCAACACGCACCGGTTGTACAGTCTACTTGGTAACAACACAAATTAATAAAGAACTAACTATATTTGCCAATCGCCTGCCAAAAGAGGCAACTGTGATAAAATCCCCTTTATGAATCAATCTATGGCGGAGGCCTATATTATGCAGTGGACTTTTATATACTGTAATTGAAAGATTGGAGATCATTATATAATTTACTTATAAATTGCGTACAAAATCAGAAAGCTTCTTCCATAAAAATTAACTGAAGAACCGGATAAGGAAAACTCACGTGAGCTGTTTATTGCACTGGACACATCGGAAGCACTCCTTGTGCCAGACCCTGCGTTCCGCTTTCACTCTCTCCATAGCGTAAACTGGCCGGGCGCATTTCTCGCACTGCGGGTTCGATTCCCCGTTCACTGCCTTCAGTTTCTTGTGCAGCTTCTCAGAGCTCTTCGACTGTTGAGAAAATAAGAAAGAGAAATACATTGTGATGCTGATATTGAAGTTAAACGTCTCCATTTAATAAAACGGTTAATACCGATTTTATCTCGTTTAATTTTAATTATTTTTAATTTACTACGTTTCGGGTGCTATGAACAACCCTTGATCACGAGGGGACTGAGGTAATTGTAGTCCCGATGTCAAAGTCAACCCAACCAAAATTAATAATTAAAAGCTGAAGGTGGGGTGGAGTACCTTCAGCTTTTAAATTAGTAATTTTGGTCCGATCTACGCAGAATAAGCCTGGGTTTAGTTTTAATTTTATTAGTTACAGGATCCCAAGCATGTAGATAGTAATACAAAGCCTTCTCTTTTGAAAATATAAGAAACTATTACGTAACACGCCTTCTTTATCAATAATAGTAACATCGTTATTTGTCATTTAGCCGGTCTCAGAATCAAAATCTTCTGTTTAGTTTGTATTGGCCTACGGAGTCTCGGACTTCAATTCTTGTTGATAACAAAAGCCCCAATAATTCCATGACTTTCCACAACCTCAATACTAGACCACAGATAGTTGTCCTGATGAATTCTACCACTAGAATGTGGTAGTGGTCAAAGTATCTACCTATTACTAACGTACGATCGTACACCAATCGCAACCAACATTGGAGCAAATATAAAATTGTAATAGTAGTCATACTGCATCTAGATTAATGTTACAGCATGAATGGGTCGTAGAACAATGACCGTGGTAGCTCACGAAACAAGCGATCGCTGTAAATTTCACGGTACGCGAACGGGGTTCTATCCCCACCGGAACCAATGAAATTGTTGATTGCAATTTTAAATGCTGATTTGCCACGTTGTATGACGTGACAAACTAACTTAATCGCCTATAGTATCACAAACTCAACGTCCCAATAGTTTACTTCTACAACATAATAAATACTGGATGATCTTTTTTACCGTCCGGAAAAAAATAGATTTGCACTGATATTTTATAAAAAATTAAAACAAAAATTTTGAATTAAACGTTTGAAAATATTTTTGAACAATTTTTATTATATAATTGTGTATTTATTATATAAACTTTGCCCTTTGCCCTTGAGCCTGTGAACTAACAATTTCATCTGTGGCCCCGTGAGGATCAAACCGCTCGCAGTAGAGTGAACAGTATGAATATTGAGTATGAACGGTAAAAATGGCAATAATATACACTCACCACAGATATCGAACCCTCTTCCTTATGCCTCTTGGATTTGGACTTCTTCTTGATTTGCCGCGTCTCGGACACGTGTACCTCCTGGTAGCTGTGCACGCGCGACTCCTGAATGAGTGTCTGTGACGCCTCCATGCTGGCAGTCACTGTCGCCATGGTACTCTGCTAACTGTAAAAACAGATTGTGTGCGTTGGTAAAGTACAATAAACACAGGTTTTCGTTATGTGGATATGGAGCACGAAAGTACTGGCAGATCCTGGAACTTAAAAAGCACAAACGTAATGGTGTGTACAAACTTGTGATCTTGAAATAGCAAGTGTCATAAAAGAGTGTAGGCAAAAGTCATAAAAGACGAGGAAAATATAAAAAAAAAACTTTAGTAATAATGAAAAATATTGCGAGCTTACAAAGTTATGAAACTGTCTATTTATACGAGTACAAGGAAGTCAACAAAACATTTAACTTAAAATTTATTTACTAAGCTCTAATGAGGTGAAAGGACCGTCAAGAATCCCATTCAATATTAAATTATGATGATGTCGAGACATTATTAAAAGTATGTTAAATATAATATTTTACACGCATAAATGCTCGTACAAACACACACGAGCGCGTCTGTTTGTGTCTTGTATTATTATTTCGAATGAATTGGGATATAAATGTACTGAGGATATTGTCTCAGACAGGATATTGACTCAGGTCACTATCAACCAAGTACGTTTTTACTCTCGGGTCGCTATGACCCGAACACAGTAATAAAATTTTCATTATTCCTGCGATCTGCCCCGGCTTCGCACGGGTGATTTCTGGATCTCGACAACAGCGACACCTAGCGGGGCCAAATTTGAATCTAAACCATCCAAGGATGCTACTCAAATGCACACAAAAAATTTCATCAAAATCATTCGAGCCGTTTTCGAGTTTCACATGTAGAGATAAGAAGAGATGATATTACAATAAAAAAACAAATCTTAGTTTTATATTCTAAATTTAAATTGTTGTTGAACATGATACAAACATTGAACAATACCATTTTTATGGATTTTATTTCTAGACAGCACCCATGGTCACGTCCTGATGTCATAGTTAACGAAGGATACCTTCAAGTTTTAGTTATTAATTTTTGGTCCGATCTACGCAGAATGAGCTTGAAGAGTCTTGCAGTAATATGCTTGGATTTGGATTTTATGCTTGGATACGAATTTATTATGAGATCCCAAGCAGATGGTAGCACCCGGCCATCTTCTCTACTGAAATTAGGATGTTTTGTGATTTCAATAGCCTCGCGAATCATACTTGATAGGAATCGGTGTTTTTGCGAGGATTTGATGAGAAGGAAATAGTTTTATTTCATGTATTAGTATTATATTATTAGTTATATTATTATTAGACCGGGAAAGGACCACGCTCTCACAGAATACCGGCGTAAAATAGTAGCTTAATGCTGCTGTGTTTCGTATGGTGAGTGTAGAGAACCGGAGACCCTTTTTAACGGAAACGAGGCATTTCATCTCAGTCCTCACGGGTGACAACGCATCTGCATTTTGGTTCGTAATCGAGGATACATGTAGATCTCTATGGGCCAAAGCAACCACTTACCATCAGGTGGACTGTGTGCTCGTTTGTCACCCTATCCTATTAAAAAAATATAAGAAATCATCATGATACAAATATTTCAAGAAATACTGTGTGGATGTATTTCTATGTGATATAGCCGCGCTTCTGCGCAATATACCTGCAGTCCGAAAGGGATACTCGCACAAATTGCAGAATAATGCTGCGTCATAAGGTGAGTGGGAAGACCCTAACAACTTTTTACTGGTAGCCTAGCCCTGAGATCAGTGGTAGCTCAGAATTGTAAGCGCTCGCTGTAAATTTCACAGTACGCGAGCAAACCGGGTTCGATCCCCGCCGGCACCAATGAAATTGGTTATTGCAATTTTAAGTGCTGATTTACCACGTGCTAGGTGGTGTGGTAAAACATCTTGAGGAAATATGAATGTCTGAGAAACAGAAAAAAATATATTTATCGAAGCCATGTGAAGTTCGCCAACACGCATTGGGGCGACGGCGGACATTTTTTTGCCCTAAAACAGAAATGAGCGGGAGGCCTGTGTCCAGGAGTGTGACGTATATAGGCTGTAACTTTAACGCCCTGAGGTCTATTATATTATCTCTTACATTACAACTAAGACTACAGGGCTGACAATGCTTTTCAGTATTGGGTAATCGGAGATAGGTGTAGATGTCAATCCGTTAAAATATTCATCATTACGTAAACTGTGTACTGGTTTGTTACTCTTACCTAATCACTAAGTCAAAGTAAATTGTTTACACATGAACACATTTTTAGACACTCCATTATGAGAACGAAAATCCACCCGGTGTGGTCACATCACAAACTATGTATTTACAAAGTTGTTTTCGCCAATACCTCTTCAGTTGCCAAATTACTGAAAAGGTGACTATCAGTTTTATTTTAAGCAACATAAAATATAAATGTAAAATGAAATAAATTATTTTTATAGATAAAAGTACTTAGTTGTTTTTTATTACCACGTTTTTACTAACTCGCTTTCATGGTCTGTTCGGGTAGAATTTATTATAGACATCCAAATCTAAGAAATACCTTTTGACGTTTCAGATTAATCATTCAGCAATAACTTTGCACAAGCGTACTCACACTATTCAAAATAACCTTTTACGTAAATAAAAAAAATTATAAAGTTATCTATATTTCTTTACAACGTGTATGGTTTTTTATCACTAATTTAAATTTGAATCTTTAAAACAAAGCACAATATTAAAAAATAACTAGTACTTATCAACTTCTTTTACTTGACGTCGTTTCAATGATATGTCGCTATGTACATTACCGTAGTGTTGATTGATGATTATGATGATTAAAATTCATTGTTCTGCGAATAATCGGCAAAAATATTCAAATATTCGGCAAAAATATTCAAATAATCAAATCATTATTTTTTTAAATATATTATTTGTTAAATTTAATTTTTATTTTTACAATTCCTTAAATTACATGAATTATGAATAAAACAGGTTTATTTTTTTAATTTGCATAAGTAAATTTGAGTAGGCAAAAAAATCATATACATTACGACAATCATATACTACAAGGCCGCGATATAAAAACCACTACTTACGTAATTTCAATATCCCACCATTTCGGGAGCTTACTGTGAGTAATTTTGTGATTTTTTCTTTGTCTTCTTATTTTGTGACTCGGCTTTAACTTTTTGGACTGTTTCTTCTACATTCGTTGAAGCATGTGCCCATGTCACAAAGGATCACTGGGCAAAAGTAGTAGAAAAAACAAAAAAAAATATTATGGATGACTTTGAAAGAGACATTAATTTTGACTGTATTATTGAAAATCAAACAACGACAGCTCAACTAGTTGTACTGAAACTGATTGAATAAATTAATTTTAATTTAGTTTTAATCTTAAAGTTTTATAACTGTGCCTTTAGGAATAAGCAGTAACAACAAATACGTAGAAACTGATAAATTTTGTGTTTTAAATTATCAGTGTTTAATTTATTCTGATATTATTCAAACCAAACTGTAAACGATTACTAACTCTAAATAATCGATATCGATTTTTTAAGAATCGAATATTGTACGTTCCCATTTTTTGATTGGCATGCCTGGTGCAATAAGTCTGACAGCTGTCAAAATGTATTTATTAGATTTGGTTGACTATAAATGAACTTTAACAAGCTTCCGAATAAGCTAGAGAAATAAAATTTTGAACATAAGTAGTTTAAAAATATGAAAACAGACTAATTAGTATTTTTAGATTTTTTAAAAGCGTTACATATTTAAAAAGATATCTATTGACTTGTTTAATTTTACATGTCCGTAAAAAAGTAAACAGTTTTGAGTTACGTTCGATTAAGGTTGTTAAAAGTAAATCGTTAACAACGGTCGTGTTCGTACGTCATTTACGATTACGGGCCGACACGTAACGAGCGAGAGCCGCGTTTATACAAATAACGACCGTATTATCTTGAGATTAGGGCTTCCATTAATGAGTCCACAAATCAGGACATTTAAGAATCATGGTGCATGCCCCGTGATAGAAATTTACGTGGTAGAACCACGCTGCAGCTATATTATGGTTATAGCACGCATAGTTCGACCGGTGTAGGACCATGCTCTTACAGAATACCAACGTAAAATAGCAGCTTAATGTGTAAATGCTGTGTTTCTTACGGCGAGTGTAGAGAACCGGAGACCCTTTTTAATGGACACGAGGCATTATATATTAGTCCGCATTGGTGATAATGCATCAGCGTTTTGATTCTTAGTCGAGGATAAATATAGATGTCTATGGGCCACAGCATCCACTTACCATCGGATGGACTGTGTGCTCGTTTGTTACCCTTATGCTATAAAAAAAATGTATATGAATGTTGTTATAGGTTGAAATAGTAGTCGTAATTAAGAATTATTTCTATATAACTTAAAGAACTCTGGCCCTTAAGAGGTTGCACGTTTGCCACAATGCACGGGCATTTGCCGCATTCAGAGCACAAATGCGACGACGAGCTTTTTAACCCCCAAAAATTTTAATATATGTTATTGAACCTGGACCTACCGGCTGCTGAATCGAGACTTGCCCTTCAATCGTTTCTCGTTAAAACATTAAAAGTGTACTCATTCTAATTAGAATTTATAACCGACTTCAAAAAAGGAGGAGGTACTCAATACGACTGTATGTTTTTTATGTGTACACATAGTTTCTAGATGAACCGATTTTGATCATTCTTTTTTATTTGATAGCAGACGCTTTTCATTTGGTCCACTATAAATTTTCTCAAAATCTGATCAGTAGTTTTTGAGTTACCATTATGATCAGTATTTAATTGAGTTTAACTGCATTGTTGGTGTTCTTATTTTATTTACACTGATACCGGTTGTACAAATTTGTAATGTTACCACTTGTTGAGCAATAAAATAGCACAAACCATAATTAGATTCCCGTAGGCAGCATTAAAGATTTTAATCGTTATTACAACCACTGATTTACATAATTACTTTCTAATCGTGTTAGTTAAAACTTTGTATTAATGTTAGCGAGATGAGACGAATTACAAAAATAAACTTTTGT